TCTGTCCTCCAGACTGCTGATTCTCTCCTCCATAATATCAGCTCTGTTATCCAGGAAGTTCAGATTTTTCTTTATCTCATCCATTGTTTTTTTCATCTCCATCATTTCTGATTGGCTTTTCTTTATAGTTTAAATCTCTTTTGTGAAGAAGTTCTTGATTTCATCGAACTATCTGGATTTTCTTGTAACTCGTTGACTTTTTTTATGATAGCTATTTTGAATTCTCTGTCATTTAGATTATAAATTTCTGTGCCTTCAGGATTGATTTCTGAGTGCTTGTCATTTTCCTTCTGGTCTGGAATATTAATATATATATTTTTACCCTGTTTGATGGTGTGGGTTTGTGCCTCCACCTAGTGATAGTATCTGGTTGCAGCTTCCACCTGCCACCACTGGATGAGGGAGAGTTGTGTATTCTGAGCCCACCACAGCCCCAGCTCACTCACTCACAGCTGCTTTTCCTAATGCATGCACAGGCACTCTAGCCACCTGTCTGAGCTGGAGCACTGAACAGGGGGAAGGGCACTTTCTTTCACCTGTGTGATCCCAGGGGTGTTCTCTCTCTGCACTCACTGTCTGCTCTTCTGGGGTGCTGGATTGATGAAGACACCCTCGCAATAGGTTAGCTTGCTCTGCTAAGCTTAGCCTCTCTCTGCTAAGAGAGAATAATGATTAGTGGAAATAAAGAATATCTTATGCACTTCATATTCAGATAAAATGAATCTCTTTTGAAAGAATACAACTGGGCCAGTTAACTCATTTTGATGATCAACCTGGCTCCTGTAGACCCTTGAGTTTTCTGCTGTGGGCAAGATGGGTTCTAGTGTCAGAGTAACTATGGGGCCTTGGGCAAGTTAGAAGCCTTCAGAGTCCCAATTTAATCATCTGTGAAGCCAGTTCTGTTGTATTCTTTCAAAAGAGATTCATTTTGTCTGAATATGAAGTGCATGAGATATTCTTTATTTCTAGTAATCATTATTCTCTCATTTCTTGTTAAACATACTATTGTCTTCATGTACCTTTGGTTTCTCACTATTGATAAAGACTGAGTTGCAAGAAATAGTTCACTTTCTTCTCAAGTCTACTATAAGAAAGAGACAACCACAAACGTGATGACAAATGACAAAGGAAGGCTTTGGCATTGGGAGTCAAAAAGAGAGTGGAGAGATTGTTCCAAGGTGGAAAGAGCATCCAAGTCTCATGTGAGTTCCTCCACCTCTCCAGTAAATGGTTGCCACGTAAGACCACGGGCCCAGTGTTCAAGGCCTTTTGATTTTCAAAAGCTATTAGAAGTCCATGTTTCCAGCAAAGTAGTCTGAGGTTGAAATATTGACAAGAAATTTAATTTTTTTTAAAAGATTGAGTGAGCTAACACTGAGTTAAACAGACAAAACGTATTTGAGGATGGAATCCAACCTGTGCACTGCTAGCTTGCAAGCTCTGGTTTAAGGAGTCATGGACAAGCTTAAGTATTATATTTTTAAAACTCATTGAATCTTAGAGTTGGAGGCAATATTTATGTCCTCATAGCACCTAGCTTTGCATTAATGGCCAGCATTCTTTCTAAGTATGTGTTAAGTATGGTACTGAAGCTTTCTAGGTTTCAGTTTCCTCATCTATAAAGTAAGGGTAATAACAGGACCCACCATATAGGGGTTTTTTTGGTAATGTATATTTTTATTGAGACACAGTTTACATACCCTTTACATACCATAAAATTCAACGTTTTTAATACATTCACAAGCTTGTGCAACTATCACCACTGATTCCAAAACATTTTCATCACCCCAAAAAGAAACTCAGTACCCATTAACAGTCACTCCCCTCATCCCTTCTCCACAGTCCCTGGAAACCACTAATCTACTTTCTTTATCTATGGATTTGCCTACTTCATATAAATGGAATCATACAATCTGTGGCCATTGTGTCTGGCTTCTTTCACTTAGCATAATGTTTTCAAGGTTCATGCATGTTGCAGTATCTTTCAGTACTTCATTCCTTTCTATGTCTGAATAACCCACTGTATGGATCTACTACATTTTATGGACCCATACATATGGATATGTACATTGTATGGATATCTTTCATTAGGTGATGGACATTTGGGTTGTTTCCATTTTTTTTGCCTATTATAAATAAGACTACTATGAACATTTGTGTACAAATTTGTATGTGGACCTATGTTCTCAGTTCTCCTGTGTATGTCCCTAGGAGTGGAACTGCTGAGTTATATAAGATTTCATGAGGATGAAATGAGATAATGCATATACAGTGCTTATCACAGTGCCTGCCATATAACAAGCATTCAATTACATATAAACTATCATTATTAATATTAACTACTACAATATTAATGAATATTTATTATGTTGGCCTTAAATGAAATGAATTGAAATGGACTGGATTGGTTTGACATCCAGAAAAAAATATCAAACTGTGCTGATATGAGAACCACTCCCCTTCACTGCAGTCATGTGTAACTGATAAACAAAATATTAACAAGTTATTTTAATATGTACCTCCAAGCTCTAAAACAAGACAGAAAAATCTCTTGGTGCCAGGAAAGTAAAGGTCTTCCACAGCAGGTGAGTGAGAGTTGAAACTGCAGATTCCACGGTGGCAACTGGTGTGTGAATTTAACCCCATAGAGATGGGATTTGAGGGTCCTGGAGGCAAAGAGCTAGAAAGGTTTGCCTTATCAGAAACTCTCTCTGACCACCAGGCCCGGAGTAGGGCAGGGAAGCAGCAGCCTGCCCCAGCCCAAGAGTGGAAAGAGTTTCAAGAATTTGGAGTTCCCAGCACAAATCACTACACAGGTGGGCACCCAAGTTCTCCCTATATCTCTCTCCACTGCAGGAAGCCTCGAACCAAAAGACAAGAGGAAGAATTCATACAGGACAGTGAACACCATGGAACCCGTCTTAGTCTGTTCAGGCCGCTATAACAGAATATCATAGACTGAGTGGTTTATAAACAACAGAAATTTATTTCTCACAGTTCCGGAGTCTGGGAAGTTCCAGATCAAGGTCCAGCAGATTTAGTGTCCAGTGAGATGCCCCCCTCTGGTTCATACACGGCTGTCTTCTCACTATAACCTCACACCATGGGGGCTCTTTTACAAGGGTGCTAATCCCATTCGTGAGGACTCCGCCCTCACCATCTGATCACCTCCCAAAAGTTCCACCTCCTAATCCTATCACTTTGGGGATTAGGATTTCAACATATGATTTTTGGGGAGGCACAAACATTCAGTCTACAGCAGAATTCCAGCTAAGTCAACAAGAAGGCAACCCCTGAAGATTCTTCTGCAACCCTGAGATCAAATAGGACCCAAACAGAGGTCACGATTTCCTCTGAAGCTATGCTCACAGGAAATGAAAGACCAAGGAGGGGGTCGGCAGACAGACAGACACGAGGAATCGCACTCAATGAACCATACACACTGGAGCAATCTGAAAGGAACTTTAAAGATTTCAAATGCCAAAGAGATAGAGGGAGGAAAAGAATCTAATATGGCAAGAACAGAACATTTTGAGGAAAAAACAAGCAGATTTGAGAGGGAGTCAAATGGAGTGGATTGAATTATAACATATTGACTTGACCTGAATTAAACACCAAACAGACCAATTATTAACTAAGCTTGGTTGTAAATATTGCCTAAGAATAGGAAAAAAGTGAAGGAAATAAATACGAATTTGCCAATTAAAGAATGTTTCATTATTCTAGAGTTATTTAGAAAAATTATTTTTAAAAATCATTCTAAACTTTCTCTCTCAACATCTACAGTTATTTGTTTTACAGCGATTTATATTGGGAGAAAAAGGCCATGATTTTACCCGCGTAAACACATAGGTAAGATCAGAAAGGCACAAAAGGTACTACTGTGTAGTAATCATTCTTTGTCGATTAAAGTTAACCTTGAAAACCAACACAAATTAAAGGTGTTTCTAACTGGTAATGAGTGCGCACATTATTACAGAGCTGTAATTATCATGCCTGGGAGTGTACGTGGGCAGTCAATTTATTGTATATAAAAAGAAAAAAAATAGTCACATAGTGTAAGGTTTAGGAATGTGTTTAGCTACAAATAACAGAAATTCACTCACAGTGGGTTAAATAATAAGCTTGCCCTGTGCAACAAGAAGTCTAGGGCGGCCCAAGACTGCTATGGAAGCTCAAGAGTCTTCTTGTTTTTCACTTCCACGGTCCTTAGACTGGGGTTTTTGTATTCATGCTTGTCACCTCGGCTGCAAGATGCCTGCTGCATCTCCGGGTGTTTCATTTGTATTTCAGGCCCGGAGAAGAAGGAAAGGGGAGCTGGGAGGGGGCTGGATCTGCCACAGGACAACAAAAGCTTTCACAGAAACCCTCCACTCACATCTCATGGGACCCTACAGGGTCTCCCGGTCCCTCTAGCTGCAAGATATTTGGGTGAAGCGCTCAGTTTAAGTTTGGCACCTTGGATAAAATCAGGTCTTTTTAGAAAGAAAGAGGAAATGAGAAGTGGCATCAGCAGATAGACGGTCAGGCCTGGCCTCACGTGATACTGTGACTATATTGATTATTAAACACTGAGGAAGTTACGTACTAACTATATTGAGAAATCTTAGTTTTGGATAAACATTTGTTCACATTAATTTTTGCTGAGTCCTTCCCACTTGTAGGTAACATGTGAACCAGAGCATCCTAAAAATTTCTTCTCATTTTGTTATTATAAAGAAGTCCATTTTTCTTTAGCCATAATTGCAAAATGTAAAAACAAAACACACAAAAACTATGAAAACAGGAAAAGTTTAGTAGCCGATTTTGTGGCAAAAACTTGATCTGACTGGAAGAGAGACTAGTCTTTATTTATACAATTTAGTGTGAAGATTTATTTGACAGGCTGCAGAATTATTACTGTTTGATTAAGAGGGGCTGCCCCAGACCCCACCTGGAACATTACGTGATAAACACTATCCTCCAAATTTGAAGAGTTCTGAATTCCTAAACACCTCCAGGTCCAGTGGTTTGAATCGGGGATCGTGGCTCCACGCTTACAAAGAGGACCCGAGTGGAAACAGGCAGCTTGGCAGACAGCATAAGGTAATCACATAAATAACTTTAAATGAGGGCAGGCAGAAATGCAAAAGAAAAGGCTGAAATTTTGAGAGCTTAGAATAACATCAGATGAATATACTGCTTAAATTTGAGTAATTTAAACCATTTATATAAATTAGTCACTTAGGACAAAGACATCAAGAATTGTTTCTACGTTCTAAACATTACGTACATTTGAATGTTAAACTAGTCCCGGGACTAATCCCAGAAATATCACTGACCAGTGTGACTTGGTAATAAGTGACCCCTATATCACCACCTCATGTCACAAGGGTAAAGGGAAAACAAGCGCCCAGAGGTTTTGGCTCTCGTTTGTTTAAGCCGACTCTTCTCAGCATTGCGGGACACATGATATCTAATAGCTCCCTACGAATACTTTGTGTGCTGAACAAACTGCTGCTAAAACACATTGATTTACGTGATAAACGACAGCTAAAATACTGAATGTGTTCTCTCGTTCGGCATCCGTATTCTATTGCACCAGCACAGTATTACACAAGTAGCACATAAAAGCATCAGACGCCTACGATACCTGAGCTTCCTTGAGCTCTTTGCAGAGCTGCCGTGCAGAGCTGAGCACCAGGTATATGATTAGGCCTGATGACAGCAACAGCACTGCTTCTCCAATTTTAATGTGCATACAAAAGGAGAGTGGAGGGAGGATGTTACAAGATGCATTCTGATTTAGTAGGTCTGGAGCTGGGCTCGAGCTTCAGCGTTTCTCCCAAACTTCCAGGTGACGCCGATGCTGTTTGGTGAACCACATTTTGAACAGCAAGGCCCTAAAGCTTCTTTCAACCGTGAGTTATCATAATCCTCTATAAAAGGATTCATACAATATACCTGTGAAAGGGACCATGAAAACATACCGTAATAATACTTTACTACTCTTAGTCGCTTGGGAGGAAAATATACGTCTCAGACTATACAGTCTTAGCGGAACACTACGTGATTTAGATATCTAGCCAGTGTGCCAAGAGGATAATGAAAAACATAATTGAGATGTGGGCGAAAACCTCTGTAGGACTAGAAGCCCTTGCTCTGACACGTACCCTGAATGTGGTTGTCCCCATGCCAGAATTTTACTAAAAGGTAATTCAGCCCAACCTGGAGAAAACATGTGTTCTCCAGAGTCTCTTAAACTCTCAGCCTCAAGCGGAGTTAGGCAATTCTGGAGGACTTTAGTTAACATCTTAGCACCGCTGTTTGCAAGGAACCTTTAGACCTCATAAACAAACAAGATGCTAGCTAGATAATAGGCCATGAAAGAAACAGCAAAGTGGAGAACTCCACAATAACCCAGAAGGACACAAAGGAATTCAGAGTCAACAGTTTCCACAGGGCTATTATACTCCATTGAAACTGGTCTCCTTGTCTCTAGGATCTTTTATACCAACTTATGTTTCTTACCACAGCCAAAGCAATCCTCTCCAAAGGGAGCTTTTTACATGTTGCTCTGCTGTGAAGTCGAAGGCTCGCAGAGAAAAAGAAATGCTCGCTCCTTTTAGTGCACAATTCTATAGGTTTTTTCAAAAGCACACAGTTGTGGAACCACAACCACAATCCAGACATTGAACACTCCCACCATCCCCAAAATCGCCCCTGCCCTACATGGCCAATCTCTTCCGCACGCCCAGCCTCTGGCAACCAACAATCTGTTTTCTGCTCCTGTACCAGTTTTTCCTATTTTCAAATGCCCTGAATGGAATCCTGTGGGACGAAGGCTTTGGGGTCAGCTCCGTCCGCTTTGCACGATGCTTTTGAGATTCAGCAATGCTCTGATTTGTATCAGGAGTTTACTCCTTTCTGCTGCTGAACAGTATTCCATTACAGTGCCAGGCTGAGCCATACTGGGGCCTGAGGCAAAAGGAAAATTGTCCACGTCTACATACGTGGTTTTAAGTATTTTATGGCGTTTTTTCCAGAACATATAAAGTAGCTGAAAAATTGGTATAAAACAGTAAACGTAAAGATTTTATTCATACCAAAGCAGAGTTTATTATAATTTTACTTCCCTGGCTTTAATGGAAGCAAATTCATCAATAATATTTTCAAACTCTACTTCTCTATCTCATTTTCTTTTGCAGCATATCACTGTGACTAGTACTGTCAAAAAAAAACTCTCAAGCCCGCTGCCAAATTTGGCGGAGATTGCGATAACCAAATTAGTGAATCAGTTTTAGAAAATGCAAACACAATACTGATTTTATAGTAAAAGTTATGGGTATTGTACACTGCTTAAAACTGTTTCAGGTGAAATTTCTGTGGGACTTAAATTGTCTGAGTATTTAAGATCCAAGGCAGTGGCTGGTTTTTGTAAATCAGATGTAATCATAGAAAATAACATTTTCCTAGTTAAAAATTCAAACTCTGGAGATGCTTTATTTAACTTTCCATATCTCCACCTCGGATGTGAAAATAAGATACCTACACACTCCATAATTGTTGCTTGATATGCACTTTTTCCATCATAAATGCTATCTTCATGCAGTGATTTGTAAATTTCTAATGTCTTAATTTTTCATTTATGTTTAAATTCTGGAAGTGTATGCATATCTCTTGTTAAAGTTTTACATTCATCAGATGTGCTTTCAAAGTAATTTTTTTTCATTTGTTATAAGCAAAAGGCTGGACCTTCTATTTGAATACAGAGCTTTATACAATTTTTCCTCTTGGTTTAAAACATCATTCCATATAGGTAAGACATAAAAATGTATAATTTATTGCACCAAGATGCTTTCAATTGCAGTATAATGTACGCTGTCATTTAATAGTATATCTTTTAATATTTGATAAATGTTTTTAATTTGTATATACAGTGCCTTGATTGCAGTTGATCTTGATGCCCATGAGGTATCCGTAACGTAATTCTTATAATTCTTAATAATATTCCATCTGTTCATTGAATTCACAAAAACAGTACCTATGTTATGGGAAATACTAAAAATAGTTCATATTTCTATTCTCAGCAGCAATATTTTTTGCGTAGTAAATTAAGATTAGGAGCTCAGTACTGCACAAATTTGGCAAAATCAATTTGGGGAGGAAAAAATGACTTGTACCCTCTTATATACATCAGCCACATTTGTTCCATTATCATAACCCTAGCCATGAGCATTTTTATATTAACATCATCTTCTTCCAATTTATTAACAATTTCACAAGCTAGACTATATCCAGTTTTTCTCTCATTTCAATAAAGTCAATATAACTTCTTTTATTGATGACATTTTTCTTTTTTTTTTTCTGGTGAGGAAGATAGGCCCTGAGCTAACATCTGTTGCCAATCTTCCTCTTTTTGCTTGAGGAAGACTGTCCCTGAGCTAACATCTGTGCCAACCTTCCTCTATTTTGTATGTGGAACACCACCACAGTATGGCTTGATGAGCAGTGCGTGGGTCTGCACCCAGGATCCAAACCCACGAACCCTGGGCCACCGAAGTGGAGTGCGCAAACCCATCCACTACACCACCGGGCTGGCCCCTTGACATTATTCTTAATGTGAACATGCCTAATAATCTGACACACCTGTTCCCGATGGGCTACGTCTGGTGTACCATCAAAATTAAAGTATTTTGCTTCTTTTATTCTCAAAAGTATTTCAGATTTACTATGATTCCCTCATAGCATTACCAATTTGTTTTGAATTTTATTAGACAAATAAGCCAATAACCTCCTTTCATGATTAGCGTTATGATTAGCTCTGTGGACATTAATAACCTGTAAGTTCAGTGAAGTTTAGAAACATCCCAATATCTAAACTTCCAATAATTTCTTATCATTCTCTAAGAAGTAAATTGTTTTCGCAGAAAACATACCATGTAAAATCACTTGTAAAATATTCATCATTTTTGTTTCTCTCATTTTATTTCCTTCTGCAAAGTATCATCCATTAAACTGTCAGTTTGAATAATTTTTAAAAAATACTTCCATTTTAGAAAAGTATCATGATGAAACATGTAAGTTTTATGGCAAACAAATATGTTTAAATTCTTCCAATCTTTGAAACCTTTTTATGAGTTTCAATATCTGATTTTGTGATATTACTGCTAAAACGTATGCATGGAAAACAAAATAAAGACAAAAATTCTTTAGAATCAATGAGCAAGTCACAATGAATCTACTTGCTTTTATAACACTAAAAAAAATCAGTCTTTTGAAATCTTCAGCCATTATATGAAATAGATTCTCTATAATCCAGCTCTTACCCTGGGTTGGGTCTCTTCAAATCACTTTTCTTTTAGTGGAAGTTGGCGCCACAATGGAGCATTGTTACCATTTATTACAAATGGAATTTCCTACGTTCTTGCTCACACTCTTGGTTGCTAGTTTTCTGAAATGCCTAACATTTCCTTTTTTCAGTTTTTGTCTAGACAATTCAACAAGGATTCGTTAGGTAACTCTGAATTTGATGCTCATTCTATTCTAACAACGTCAATCTTAGAGACTCCATTACTTTCAGTGGTTGAAGTACTGTGTTCTCTAGCCAAACTTCTAACCGCCCCATATAATTTTTATCCATTTCTACACTCATCCTTCCTTCTTTTCCTGAACATTGTACCACCTGACTTTTTAGATGTCATATTCTGCAAAATAAATTTGTACTATAAATTTACAACATATTTATTTTTAATCAATATAAGATTTAATTCAAGTGAATACAATATATAATAAATTAGAATTATTTATGTGGAGTATCTTAATTCATATAAACTATAATATTTAACAATCAATAGAGGTACATAAAAGTTTGTATCAAAACTATAAAAATCCCCTTGTGCACTGTTGGTGGAAATGTGAAATGGTGCAGCTGCCACAGAAAACAGTATGGCAGTTTCTCAAAAACTCAAAAATAGATTTACCGTATGATCCAGTTATTCCACTTTTGGGTATATACCCAGAAGAATTGAAAGCAGGGTCTCAAAGAGATATGCACACTCATGTTCATAGCAGCACTATTCACAATAGCCAAAAGGTGGAAGCAACCCAAGTGTTTTCTGACAGATGAATGGATAAATAAAATGTGGCCTATACATAAAATAGAATATTATCCACCCTTACAAAGGAAGGAAATTACGATGCAAGCTACAACCTGGATGAACCTAGAAGACATTATCCCAAGTGAAATAAGCCAGTCATGAAAGGACAAACACCATATGATTCCACTTATGTGTGCTATGCAGATTAGTCAGACTCATAGGGGACAGAAAGTAGAAGGGTGGTTGCCAGAGGCTGGGGGTAGGGGAGAATGAAGAGTTATGGTTCAATAGGTACAGAGTTTCAGTTTTGCAAGACGAAAAAATTCTGGAAATTGATCACACAAAAAATGTAAAAATGTTAAAACCACTGAATTTTACACCTAAAAATGGTTAAGATAAGGGGCCAGCCTGGTCACGTAGTGTTTAAGTTTTCACGTTCCACTTCAGTGGCCTGGAGTTTGCAGGTTTGGATCCTGGGCAGACCCACACACCCTCATCAAGCCATGCTGTGGTGGCATCCCACATACAAAATAGAGGAAAACTGCCACAGACGTCAGCTCAGGGACAATCTTCTCCAAGCAAAAGGGAGGAAGGCTGGCAACAGATGTTAGCTCAGGGCCAGTCTTCCTCACAAAAGGAAAAAAAAAGGTTAAGATGGTAAATTTGTTCTGTGTATTTTACCACAATTTAACATTTATTTTAATTTAAAAAACTACTATATATTATATATATATAATGTTATATATAATTACAAATAGCAGAAAGCTATACACCAGGTTTCCAGACAAGTTGGTGAAAGAAAAAGTAGTAAAAAAAAAATG